CTACAGTTTTTCCCAGCGGGCCTTCCACAGGACAAGGTCCCCAACAATCTTGACTCTCTGTGGGGCAAGTTTTCCTTCTCTGTGGCTGATAAGTAGCTCAATATTCTCTCTTTTTAAATCTTCCAGTTTGGTTTCTGGGAAGAATTTACTCAGTGGGGGTTTGACAGATCTGTGTACTTTGGCTATTTCATTTAGGCCATAGCAGACAAGTTCATGAGCTCTTTCTGTGCCTCTGGGTGATTTGACTCTGAGTATCTTCTAGTGTTAACCTTCATAGCCATTCCTCCGACTCCAAGGACGACTAGTCTTTTGGCAGCTTTGTGGGGGATGTAGTTGGTATCTGATGCTAAGTCAATGAGAGTTCCAATTTTCTGTCCTGCGTTGGTAGTTACTTCGAGAAGCATCATAAGAACTGACAGCTCTTCCAATCCATTTGCCTTTATCAGTCCAAATTGATTTTGTACCACAGTTTATTGTTGCAGTCATGTTGGTAAACACTCTTGTGCATTTTTCTGCCATGTCTGGGGTGAGTTCAGATATTAATTTCTTTTGCTCTTCTGTAATCTTATGTCTCCTCTTGCTGTCTTTTCCACTTCCGTTTTCCTCGCCCCTTCCGGATTCTCTCTTTAGACAGAGAAAGAAATGGTGATCTGAAGAGCTCCCCCTCCTGCAGTCTCTTCTTTTACACAGGTAAGTGTCTCTACATTAATTATTTTCTTCATGCAATCTCACTTCTTACATGCGTCTAGCTTCTTGACAGCATTACATTTTTCAGCCACCTACAACTCCTTGAATCTTTTGCAAAAGAAAATCTTCTCTACATGCCTTTCATCTCCGCAGACAATACAACCTCCATCTTTTCTTGTAGAACTTGTGGAAGAATATTTTCTTTCAAAATTTCCCTCTGGTTTCTCTGGCTTCTCAGCTACTCCAAGCTGTTCCAGTTTTTCCAGGATTTCCTCTAGGGTTTTCAGGAACTTGAGGAGGCTGTCAAAATGATTGTCTGGGGTTACACCATTTCTGGAGTCGGTCATGAAGATGAGCCAGTCTTTCTTCATGCTGTCAGGTAGCTTGCTTTCTGTTTTTTCTCATTTCTCATGAAATGTGGTGCACATTTCAGTTGTGGCAAAATTTTTAGTTTTTTCTAGGGGTCCACTATGAGGGCATGGGCAAGAATGGCCCTCCAGGGCCCATATATTGGAACTCCATACTAGTCCGGGGGCCACCCAGTGTCAGCGGAATATGCATAAAAAATCAGGCAGCACACGCGTAGATCTGTATCTAGGACAAACAAAAAATCCAGTGGGCACCATATCCAAAACACCAACAGGAAGGTCGGACACTTTTGCGATTTAAGCACCCAGGTATGGTATGTAAACAAATTAAATGAAATGAAATGGCAGTATTCCAACGTATCTTTTTCTTCTCCCGCCAGCTGGTGGCGCCGCGTATATAAAATCACTCGGGTTTACCGAGGAAAATGAAACTGTGAAAACTATAGCGTGGTCGTCATCACTCCAGCTGCTTTAGACTGCCAGCTCATAAAACATAAATTATATTCCTGAGTTTGAACACTGATTATTGAATACATAAAACAGTTGGAAGTCAGAAGGGAAAGACATAAGACAAAAGAAGGGTAGTGGATCAGGACACAATTGTTGAATGGAGACAAAAGGGCAGGAAAGGAATAGTAAGATATAGAGAAGAGAATAAAATAGTACAAAGGAAAGAAGAAGGATAAAAAAAGAAATAACAAGCATTTCAGTATATAGAAGAATAACAAGGGAGAAACAAGTAATGGGGTGTGAGATGTTTTTATAGGTGGAATGGATAAGAAAAACATACATAAAACTAATGACGTAGAACCGCTGAACTGAGGAAGTTAAACCTAAATAGTAAACGCTCAGTACTGATAGACACCAAAATTAAAGTGAACAATACTCTGAAAGTTAAACTGAAAAATCTACCGTAACACATACATAATAAGAGTTGTAACAGATATTCTGTATTCAGTCCAGTAATCAACTCCCAAATAAAATCGTAGTTCTAGTTCTGTTGGGTGGAAAAGGTTGAGCTCGTTGTGGCCAGTTACCATGATTTTAGTGGCTGTTTTAAAGTGAATCACCTCAGATTTGTCCATGGATATTGACACCAGATGAAGAACAGGAGAGACATACCAAATCAAAACAAATTCAAAAACTTAAACATAACCTAATTGTCTATGTATCATTATTCATTGTCTTTGACCCAGTTAGGAAGCAAACTGGTGGGAACAGCGGTTATGTAAATGTTCTTGGCAATTATTTCTACCAAATAGGTCTAGATAATTCTTAACTGATAATGGTAGAAAATGATGTAAGGATATCATAACCGATATACAAAACAAATTCCAAATAACCAATAAGCAGATACACGTTCCTCCTTGATAGAGGCCAAAAATACAATATCTAGGTCCAGGCCTGGTTGTTGTAAGGCCAATAAATATTTATCGCCAATCATTTCTTGGTGAGATCATGGACATGGACAAGTTTGCAAAATCTTCAACGTACATTAGGAAAAGTCTCTTATTTGATCTAAAGTTGCCCATGATTCGACATAATCTGTGAAAGGAGAGCAGCTAAAACTGGACTGGTTTCACATGATCTAAGACCACAATTACTCCAGACCAATCCCTATTTGTAAATACTCATTCAGATTCATTCCATAACACTCCAGTATAGACCACTTTAGTAGTGGTAACAGAGCGTGATTGACTCATTGTAACGAAAGGTGGTTGAGTCATAGTATATTTTGGACTCTGCAGCGTAATCAGTTCTATTGATAAATATATTTGGATGTTCCCAAAGTTAAATGTTGCCGCTTATCCTTCAACACACCATTTTATGAAGTGTTGTGGAACCAACCTGAACTTAGGGCGTGAGAGGGGTAGCGCAACGAATGTAACGTTTGTGTACATTGGCGGGTGTGATGTTTTAATTTTCTTAATTTGTGGCAGAATTGGGACTAGGCAGCAAATGGTTCAGTGGGGTAAAGTTTAGCACAAGACCCAACTGTCACGGGAGTGCAGGC